GAGAAATTACCGTTCTAGAGTGGCACGGGCGCGGTTCTGGAAGCATATGTAAAAATATGTAAATGAGTCGAGACAAGTGCCGCAGCTGTGCCATGCTCTCCTTCTGATTGCTCTGAGCTCGTAAAGCAACTTTACCGAGCTGAAATCATTGTTTAGTCTTGTCACGCTCTCTCTCTCTCTCTCTCTCTCACTCTCACTCTCACTCTCTCTCTCTCTCTCTCTCTCTCTCTCTCTCTCTCTCTCTCTCTCTCTTTCTCAGCACTAGTTCATTTTTTCATATACTCTCTTTTATTATCGCAAAGTACGAGTTCTTCCTTCTCTATTTCCCTCGGTCTTTCTCGTCAGTTCGTTTTTTCTTCAACGTTTATGAAGCTTTGCTATACGCAAACCAGACTTGTTGTTTATTCCTGGAGAATTTCCATACACATTTTGCATTCCCCGCGAAATCGAGAAACCGACAATAAAAGTCGACTTGTAGATGTATAATTCTCCTGGTCGGATCAGTTTCTGCTCGTTCCGTGCAACGATAATTCCGCTCGTTCCCAAGTGAGTTTCATTGCGATACTCGTATCATGCTTACGATTTATTAAAAAAAAAAAAAAAAAAAAGAAAAGATAAATGCAACCAACGCATGTTCCTCGTTATACAATATAACGTTTATTTTACTAGCTACATCGTTTAAATTTTCGTGAATGGTATCACGGAGAATAATCGTACGATTGAAAGTTTAGGTTTAAAAGGAGGATAAATTAACGAACGGGATGTGAATGGGATAATCGGAGAATGACTCTTTGGATAAAAACGATTATTTCCTTTTATTCATGGGTCAACACTTAAACGGTGAACTCTTTGACCAGTTCGGATTATCGCATTAAAACCTTCTTTTATCATCCTTAACACCTTTCCTTCTACATCTTCGTCGCGACGACGTAGAAGCTACTTAATCGTTTACTTAGTCGCATCCTCATTGCAGCTGTGGCTAACATCTTTCGTTTGGAGATAAGAAGAAAGAAGAAAAGGCCTCATCTTCCTTTTAATCTTCTTATTTTTCACGTTCAATCGAGTACTACGTTCGACCTTTGCACCTTGATTATCCGATCGAAAGGGAAATCATAAAATGGATAATATAGGAAATGAGACAAGAAGTATCGCGAGTAGCGAGTGAAAAACGAATGAAAAATAAACGATTACATTGGCTAATTTTTTTTTTCTTTTTTTTTTTTTTAAGAAAATAAATACATATTTTCCTCAAGCTCCGTAAATATTTACCGTTTTTATTCGTGAATGATTTTACATAAAAATAAACGATAAGTTTTTTTTTTTAAGTATGATATCATGACTACGATGACTTGTTCTGCCTTTATCTTTTATTATACCATATTGTATTTGACTTGACCGTTGCGAGTGACTCTCCAGTCAGTTGTTCTATGAAAAAAAAAAAAAAAGAATAGAAAAGAAAAAAAAGAAAGAACAAAAAAATAAAAAAGAAGGCAGGGAAGTCATAAGGATAGGGTCCATCATCAAAGTTCCTTTTGAACGTACGATCTTATCGAATTTATGGACGGAGGTGTAGTTAGTTGTCAGATGGATTTCAATATAGCTTAGCCGGAAATCGAAAGAGATGAGGGTGAAAGGCTCGGCTCGACTGGGCTCGACTGGGCTCGACTGGGCTCGAATGACTGGTCTCGAATAGCTTCTCCCTATCGTACATAGAGTTTGAAAGTGTCATAAATGACGTCGAGATATGATGAATGTCAACGCTTAGTTCGCTTCGAGAATCTATATAATGTGTCGTGCGTGTCTCGACGATTATTATTTTTAACAACAACATAACTAACCATGATCGAATATAAGCGCGATGAGATACACTCACTGGATATCATCTGAGACTTGGATTACGGTGGCAAACTCGTTGACGGATAGTAAATCCGATATTTCTTTGCGGCCTCTTATTGCATATTTTATACTCTTTCCTCTTCTTGTTCGTCTTTTTAAATTTATTTATTTATTTTTTTCTTTATTCTTCTCTTTTCAAAGTTCGTTACAATCTAAGCAAATAATTTATTTTCTTTCTTTCTTTCTTTCTTTTTCTTTTTTTTTTTATTACTCTAACGTATGCCTTACCTTTTTGATTTTCTTTTCTCTACCGTAGATAATAGTTGATAGTGCAATTGATAATTACAAGTTATCGTTTAATTATTGCATATAATTACAGGTCGCACGTATTATAAATTCGTTAATAATGTTTCTCTTATCTGCTTGATCGTATGAAATTACGTGAGATTATATGAAATTATATGAAATTAGAGCTCTCGTTGTATCTTTCGACGATAGATGAATCTTCTTCGTTTTCCTGTATCTACTCTCTCAGGGACTACCTTATCCTCAGAGAGGTGGAGGGAAGGGGTTGAAGCTTTCACCGTTTCCCTTTCTACTTATTTGGCGCTGACTTCGTCTACTATGGCTTAGCAAGTGGTTCCCTCTGCGGCGAAATTTCGTACCTTCCGTTCGTCCTTCGTGAGAGTCCTAAAACATCCTGTCGCTTCGAGTTTCCGGCTTTATCGAATTCTTTAAAAATGCAGATAAAAAGCGAGAAGACCCTTTTCAAATCGATTATAAATATCAAATTAAAAATCAAGGAACGATATTTATTATTTTCAACATTTCTTATTTCACCCTTTTTTGTCTTGTTCTTTTTTCTTTTTTTTTTCTTTTTCTTTTTTTTTTTGTATATGCCTATCCATAAGCAGTATCTTTGATCCTTGCTCTTCCGAAAAAACATTCCAACAGGGATCTTCTTTTCCATCAGGATCAAGCGCTGATAAGAGTTTTCTAATTTAGACGTCAGAACGTGTCACGAATATCTCGCACGAAATTAAATGATCGAACTCGATGATAACGTTGCGTTGATAAGATTACGCGTTGTAATTAAAATAATCGACTTGAGTGTCGTTGATGAAAAAAAAAAAAAAGAAGAAAAAATTACTTCGATAAAAATAGATCACATCGTACAGATACTTTAGATGATAAACGATAAATACTAGTAGAGTCGCAATGTAATAGGAGAATACATACAAAGAAGAAGAAAAGAAAAAAAAAGGAATAAAAAGAAAAAAGGAAAAAAAAAAAAGAAAAATAATAGAAATATAAATCTATAAAAAGGGAGAGAGAGAGAGAGAGAGAAGAGCGGGGAGTTAGTAGAAAGGGTTTGTTAATATAGAAGTGGCTCGTCGTGGCGACACCGAACGGCGGAAATCTTTTGACGGTCCTTCAAAGACGTCCTACGCGGGTCCTCTGCATGGCCCTTTGCGGGGCCAACGCGTAAAGCCCGGTGTGAAAGGGCCTTTAGAAAGGTCGTGCGTTAACGGTTGCTGGCGTATGCGCGCGCGGCTTCTCTCCTTTGTTTAATTACAATACGCTCAGCGTATGGAGCACGTAGACGGGGTAATTATTGGTTACAATGAATAGGAGAGACCAGGCTTGTTCGCTCTACTTGCTGCTTTTTTTTCCTTCTGTCTCTCTCTCTCTTTCTTTCTCTCTCTCTTTCTCTCTCTCTCTCTCTCCCTCTTTCTCCTTTTCGCTTCACTTTTTGTTCTAGTCTTCGACGGTGCAACATTTGGTATCCGTCGGACGGGTGCGTACGAGTGCATGAGTGCAGGCCTCGCAATGCGCTCGCCATCGTGGCTATCACATAGCCATTAATGGCACTCGACGATGTAATTTGCTTCTAGCCCCCTGGACACAACCTTCTTTCCCTCTAACTCCACATTGCTCTCCTCGTTTTTCTCTCTTTTCTTTTCTTCTTGTTTTTCTCTCTTTCTTTTTTTTTTTATTTTTTTATTTCTTTTTTCTTTTTTTTATCTTCTTTCTATTTTCCTCTCTTTCCTCACCATTTCTTTTTTTTCCTTTCCATAATATCATATAGACGCTTAGTTTGAATCATTTGCCTCTATTCACCCTCTTACTCACCCTACAACTGTGTTGTCTCGAATCTCATCTTCCCCCTTCTATTTCTATTCTTTCTTTCTTCGTTTTCTTCGTGAATCGTATTATCGTATCGCAATGGCAATGTCCAAGGTAGGGGAACTTTACGAGCTCGAAGATCGTGGCAAAGCGCGTCGCTATAAATTTTCCGGACCGGCTGGAGAGCGGGAAACGACGAGGTTCCTCGTTCGAAAAGAGGTAGAAAAAGCGTGTTGCGGTACTACGGAAGTTTCAGAGGGACCGAAATCGCGTTCGCTCGCGCGCGTGACAGGAAGAGACAGAGAGGAATAGAGAGAGAGAGAGAGAGAGAGAGAGAGAGAGAGAGAGAGAGAGAAAGCGAGAGAGAGAAAGAGAGAGAGAGAAGACTGTTTATCTTGCTACCGGCGGTACGTATCGGTCAATATGTGCCCAGCCTCTGAGCATACAGGCTGCATACGTAGGTACATAGGTTCCACCTCCAGTTGGCTGTAGGCCGAGAGACTCAGAGGCAGCGGCGGTGGTGGCGATGGTGGCGGTGGTGGCGGTGGCGGAGGCTGCGCTTGCCTGTGGACTGCACATTACGTGGCGCATTATGCGCGTACACAAGGAGCCTTATCTGCGCGAGCACGTCCGGGTAATTTAGTCCACCACTGCTCACGGCGATGCTTCTTTTCTCTTCCCTTCTCTTCTACCTTTCCCTCAACCTTTTCTACTTCTCATCCTCTTTCCTTCGTTCTTCCTTTTTCCTCCATCTCTTCCTCCTCCTTCTCCTCCTCCTTTTCATCTTCTTCTTTTTCTTCTTCTTCTTCTTCTTCTCCTTCTTCTTCTTCTTTTTCTATTTTCTCTATCGACCAAATCCCCATTTGCTGTTCTAAAGGGTGTGCGAAAAAGTTCGATTCGAATATCGGTGCTTTTGTAAAAATAACATTTTTCTTTCTCACTTCCTTTCTAAAGATGTATATATATATATATGTATGTATGTATGTATGTATGTATGTATGTATGTATATATATATATATGTATATACGTATGTATCTATCTATCTATCTATGTATAATAATGTAGTTGGAGTAATATAATATTAACAGTAACAATGGGTATATATTTATGTATATATAATGATGATATGATTAACATCGTTACTGTATGAATTGTAACAGACAGTAGCAATGATCAATTAGTAAAAGTTCGCAATTTGTTCTACCCTACCATTCTATATTTTACGATCGATTTTGTTGCCACGTATCTAACCACGAAAATTCTTCTCTTTCTATCGTCGTTACTCTGTTCAGATGGAAATCTCGCGAGGTTCACCGAATAGAGTGTAAATTGCGTCGAATTATTCGTAACTCTTCGGGGTGCATCGTTAGCAAGTTCGTGCAGGTGTTTCCACTTGGTTGCTAGCTCTTGGATGAACACTAAAACCCTAATACCTTTGTCGCACGCGAGAAAAGTGATTACAATGTAAGCAATACCGAAAGCCACGTAATGTAATTAAATTCAGTCGCTGAAAGAGTGTGCGAAGGAGAAAGAGATAGAGAGACAGACAAACAGATAGACAGACAGACAGAGAGAGAGAGAGAGAGAGAGAGAGAGAGAGAGAGAGAGAGAAAGAGAGATAGAGAGAGACAGAGAGAGAGAGAGAGAAAGAGAGAGAGAGAGAAATAGAGAGAAAGAGAGAAGTGGCAAAATTGCTGACGTAATGGCGTAGCCGGTGGTAAATAATGATGCAGCAAAATATCAAACGGGCATATCGGTTTGTTAATTGGAACCCGCCTCTAATTACCGTTACGACTGCGTATCGTAGCCCATAGCTCGATGAATATATATACATACATATATGCACAGGTATATTCTGTAATCTGAGCGCGCAATGAATCAACTTTTTACGTTGAATTTATATTGCATGCAATAAAGGGCCGTGGGTTGTTTTAGTTTTTTTTTTTATTTTTTTTTTTTTTTATTTTTTTGTATTTTTTTTTGTATTTTTTTTCTTTCTCCGTCTCTCTTTCTCTTGAACTAATGTTTCGATATCTTTTTCAAATAGCTATTATTAACAGTCAATGGACGATAAATTAAATTTCAATTCATTTTAACGATATTAAATTTCGATTCATTTTTCTGATAACGATATATATATATATATATATATATATATATATATATATATATGTGTATGTACTATTAAATGAACAATTTTATATATATTTTTACATTTCAATAATCAATTGTACCTTAAAAATGGTTGCAACGATTTTGATGAAACGGGACGAATTTAATGTTTGTTAAGGCCGAAAAAACGAGTCTCGACTTTGGCAAAAATTCATTTACGATGTTAAATAATCGTATAAAGCGTACATGATTTTTTTTTATTTTTTTTTTTTTATTTTTATACACATTAATCGGCATGGTGCAGCGAACCTCACAATGTGCGTTACAATATATTCGTCGAATTTCATATAACTGTTTAACTGTTTTTTAATTAGCGTAAGGTCGGTCGAACTTTATAATAAGCGATACGATGTTCGGCATATTTTATATAGTTTTCTTAGCGCTGTTATTAATGTAATATTATTAATGTAAAGATTAAAAATCGATGCTGACTGTAAATAAATGATAAAATCATTTTATTTTTCATAATGAAGAATCAAATATAGTAATAAACTAATTGTTTAATTAAATATAATAAACATAATGTAATTAATATAATAATCGAATAAATATTGAAATAAAATAAGAATACTTTGTTATCGTGTCATTTTAAATAAAATAAAATATATATTCCAGATGTTGTATCTTTAAGTTACATATGTAGACATGTATTCATTATAGTCACATCATTGCAAATAGGTAGTACTTATGTAGGTCCCGTATTTTTCAATCCACCGATCGTTCTCAGCTTATACTTATTCCAGTGTAATGTAAATTAGCGGCACCATGGTGAGAATCGTTACCTCTCTTGGCCTTGATTTCAATCTGAATGGTTATCCTTTGGTGACTTAAATCGAACCTTCGACGCTGAACAATTAGCTTGTGAAAAAGAGGAACTTGCCCTTGTTAAGGACATTTTCCTTTTTTTTCTTTCTTTTTCTTTTTTTCTTTTTTTCTATTTCTTTCTTCTCTCTCTCTTTTTTTTTTTTTTTTTTTTTTTATTGTTACGATCGACAAACCTTTCGAGAGTTTATGAATGGCATCGTAAATTTTGCCAAACGAATTTATTTATTATTTCGTCCTTTAAAGGCTACACGAAATTTTTATATTTATTTTCGTCAATGATCCCCGAACGAGAATAGGGTGGAAAGAATTAAAACTAAAGGTAGACTTCGTCGCTTCGTTATATCTACATACGAATAATACGTGGTTTGCCTACGCAACGAGAATATAATCGTTCTCGCGGAATCTCATTAAATCAAAAGGCATACGGATAATTTACGTGGCAATTATCGTTCTTTCCGCGAGGATAAAAATAACGAGTTCGAGGTTGGAAAAATGAATTTGCAAACAAGCGGGGAAATGGAGGAGCGCGTAATATATTTGCGGCTACGTGTAATGTGCAAAGATAAAGGGGAAAGAGAAAGAGAGAGAGAGAGAGAGAGGGAGAGGGAGAGGGAGGGTGGGAGGGAGGGCGGGCGATGCGGACAGTGGTGGTCAAACGTTTGCCCGCAGCACCACGGTGATTGATATAAACGTGGCAAACTAACGAAGCGTGACGACGGTCGATGCCATGACAGGCGGAAACTAAATTTTTCCCTTTTTACTTTTTCACTCAGCGTGTATCCTAACGCACTCGGCATTGTTCATCGTTGACGGCTCTTGCACTTCGGGGTGAGAGCGTGACTCCACCTCTTTTCCTTGTCTCTCTCACTCTCTCTCTCTCTCTCTCTCTCTCTCTTTCTCTCCCTCTCCCCTATCTATCTTTTTCTATCTTTTTCTATCTTTCACTTTTTTCTCACTCTCTTTCTCTTTCTCTTTTTCGCTACCCCTTCCAGACGCCGATACACTACCGTGCTGTCACGCGCATAATGCCGCGCGTTTAGCATTTATATCTTTTTGGCCCCAGGTATATGTTCTCGCATAATTAGCAGCAGTTTTTATGCACCGCCGTAACATTCAACGACGTAAAAAGAAAAGAGAAAACGGTTAAGTTAGATCCCGCTCAAGGGTTACCTACGCGGCTGCGTCTTTTCTTTCTTTTTTTTTTTTTTTTTTTTTCGAGCTACCACTAGGCACTTACCGCTTCTCTGTTCCGCGTCCGATTCGTAGGACCCTACGGCCCCGAAAAATTCTCACACGGCAGCCGTCGATCTGATTTGCATGCCGAGTGAAATCTCCGTACGACACGGTACATATGCGTGTATCGTTGATGCACGCTCGACACCCTTTTTCGGCTATCTTTTTACATGGATTTCTCAGGCAGAGAGAAAGAAAGAGAGAGAGAGAGAGAGAGAGAGAGAGATAGAGAGAGATAGAGAAAGAATGAAATATAAAAAGGATGAGAAAAGAAAAAAGAAAAAGAAAGATGCGCTTGAAGTTGATTATACCTTATAATTACCAAAAAGAAGAAGAGATAAATAGTTCGACGAAAGCGGCCGACAAGATCGATCGAAGTATCTTCGATTTCCGTGCTGTCGTTTAGCTTGAATAAAGGCGATGGATCAAAAACAGTGTAATATAGCGAACGCGCGTGCCCTCCGCTGGTGTACAAGAGATCCTTCGATATCCCGATCATCGATCATCCATTATTAGATCGGCACCCTCTTTACCGCAAGTCCAATACGCCCATAAATTCCATTCTTGGATGCGATCCACCTTGTATGAGGGCGTGCAAGAAGCCAACGCGCGCCTCTAGTGCGCTCGATCGACACAATACGAAGGAAAAAATAGTTTTGCTCTCACAAATCGATTCAGATACGTACCTGTGCGTCCGCAGGATAGAGAGGACGTTGTTAACTTTTAAAGCCTCTTCTACCCTTCTTTTTTTCCTTTTACCTATTTCTCTCTCTCTCTCTCTCTCTCTCTCTCTCTCTCTCTCTCTCTCTCTCTCTCTTTTTTACTTTTAAAGCCACCAGACGGTAGCATTTATACAATGCTTCGTCGACAATCGAGCCTTGAGGCTTCTCTCTCTCTCTCTCTCTCTTTCTCTTTCTCTCTCTCTCTCTCTCTCTTTTTGACCTGCCAATAAAATATACGATTACACAAATAAGAGAGAAAGAACGAACTCGAGTGGGGATTCATAGATCACCGATCGAGAATATGGGTCTCTATCCTTGTCCTTTTACCTCCTTTCCTCTTCCCTTCCCCTTGAATGGAAAACGACGTCACTTAAACTATACAAAAGGGATCGCAGGTTCCACTAGAACGTTGTTCGCGAGGGTCTTTCGTTAGACCTAAGGGCGGGCATAGGATCCAACCCCCTTCTCAGATTCCCCAGGTGGAATATCGCGCTAGGAGAAAGGATCGAGTACTCGATCAGTTTCCCGTCAGTTTCCGGTGGTGACTCTCGCCAATATCTCGCGAATTTACTTTACTTTATTGTATTAGCCAATAGTTTAGTGATTATCAAACGATATTACTTACAATTCATAGATCTATATATACATATCGATCGATACAAAATACTCGTTGATCCGTTTTAACGAATATGGAAACAAATGTTAACATTGAATCATTGCCTCTGGGTAAGCTTAACCCCTTGAGATTGAGTTATTAACTCAAAGAAAGAAGAGGCGGAGATGAAAGAACTAAGGAGAAGAAGAAAATGATAAAAAGCACAACGAACGAAGAGAGCATGCATGCGAACGGATAAAAGAGAAAGAGAAAAGAGATCGAGCGAATCCTGTTAACCGGTCGAAATTAAATCTCCATTAGAGCGAGAACGTATGAATTATGAAGATGTAGAAAGACCGGTCGAGAGTCGTAGGGAATGACAGAAGTTGAGACGCGGAGGGGAAGTTAATGAAAAAGAAAAATACGAAGAATAAGAACGAAGAAGATACAACGAACTAGGAGTCTTTGGTAGGAAGAAGAACTTCCAAGAAAAGAAAAGATATATATATATATATATATATGTATATAAAGAAGGAGGGAAGGAGGGAGTGAGTATTAAACGAGCACGAAGGCTTATCACGTAATAAGTGCATGATCGATGCGAGCGTATAGACAGAGCGCGGAGGGAAGAAGTGGCGAAGGTGGATGTGGAGGTGGTGATGGAAGGGACGAAGGAGGAGGGGGAATGGAAGAAGGAACGGGACGCCATATTGAGTGGCACGGAGCGATCGTATTCTCTCGAGTCGTTGCAAAACTCTGTGCGATGTTAGAGAAAACGTACGGCTTCTAGGACCGCCTACCATTCGTCTTTTGCTTATCCTCTCTCGCTACTACGTATGTACTTAAATCCCCTCCTCTATCTATTTTCTCTAGCTACCATTTGATCGGCGTAACGCGACGCTCCTAGCTTAGAATCTACGATGAGACCTCGATTTATGTGATTCATACGATTTACGTGGTCCAAGCATGTGCATGCCGATTCGTTTGCAAACGTCGATTAAATCGTCGTCTTTTGCTCGAGTCTACGAAGAAAAAAAAAGAGGAAAAAGAGAGAGTGAGAAATGTGTGTATGTGTGTGTGTATGTGTGTGTGTGTGTGAGAGAGAGAGATATTGGACTCGCCAGAGTCTTCTCACATCAGCCAACAAGGGACTCCTTGTATTCGTTAAGCGATTCAAGCGCGAGATACGCGTGTAGGTATGCCTTAAGGATTTTATTCCAAACGCGCGATACGCGACGTGTATGTATGTGATTAGAAGACTCGATGTCTATTCTCCAAGACTCGATGCTTCTAATTGCGACGTCTCCGATCGTTCCTTCTTCGAATTTTGATTCCTTTCATGACTACTGTGTTTCCCTTGGAATCCTTAAAAATCTATCTGACTATCTATTTAGCTTTCTTTATTTTCTTTTTCTTTTTTCTTTTTCTTTTTTCTTTTTCTTTCTTTGTTGTTTTTTTTTTCTTTTCTTTTCTTTTCTTTTCTTTTTTTTTTTCTTTCTTTTTTTTTCTCGAAGGAGAACGAAAGAATACAAGATACGATTTAGCCGATGAAACATCGCCGACGGACAGGATACTCCTGTAAGATCGTCATGATAATCGTTATGAATAATTAATGAGGAGTTCAGCTACTGAAATATTGTATTTCGATCGTCACACATAGAACGTCCCATTTTGTACATTTTTCATTACCGATTAGTACGGCGACGTTTTTGTAATTATGATAATGATTCTCTAGATGAAGAATTTAGTTAGATGGAAATTGCCATTCCCTGGTACGAACCAATATTCGTTTTTCCTCGTCTCGAATAATATTATACGTTATATATATATATATATATATTATTGAACCTTTATCTCTAATATAACATTCGGTTTAACCTAATTTTCGATCGATCAGAAATCGATTACATCGAGAATAAAAATGTGTTTTCTTATTTATAAAATTTTTAAGGCATAAACGTCCTCCGTGTATCGCATAAACAGGATGTAGGATGGATTGCAGAGGGATTAATAGAGAGGAATAATTTACTCTCTTGATTTGACCGTAGGGATCGCAATCGCGAGGGGTGAATGTCGGCTACCAGCAGCGCTCAAAACCGGTTAGAATTCTCCACAGGCACCTGAATGGATACCCAGATCTAAGTGTACGCGTATCGAAGTAATCTTCCAAAGTAGGCACTCGCTCGGGCAGCATGGCTTACCGGCACTTTCCCATAGACTCGGTTATATCCCGTGGGTATACTTACCACTTGAGACGTCTGTGTGCACTTAACGCTCGCTTTTCCGTATCCGTCGTTACCCGTTTCGTCTCCCACAAATTTGATATTTATCCCCGACACCGTTAATTCCCTTGCGAACTTCATCGCATCGAACGATTCGACATTGTCAAGCTTAAGGTCAGGGGTTAGTCGAGAAATCGAAAATAGATATGGCTATGGTGCTAATTCGAATGCACCTATTAATATTGGAATCTAAATCAATCGAATCTTTGAATAATATTAATCGCTTTGCTTATAAACGTTATGTTTACTCGATATACCCAATGACGCTTCAAATTGTCAAGCATTAAGTTCAAAAGTTCAGCTACAAATATCGTGTATATTTACATATTTAATTATATGTTAATTCCCTTCTCATTGTATTTGTATTTCATTTTGTCGAATATAATCGAATATAATCGGGATTGGTTGAAAGACGACGATGTTTTCTCGAACGAAAATATACGCAAAGTTTATGTAATTTTAATTTCACCTACATGACTCTCAGTTTCCCCTTTTGGTTATTCGTATGTAGATACTCGTATAAACGTGTGCGTACAGGTGCTCTCGTTGCATTGCACGCGATACGAGCGTGATTCACGTAATCCATTCCCTCACAACCTGTTTGGCAGAGGTCCCGCATCTTCGTGTCCATTGTGCTCCACTCGTGTTATCGTCGAGGAACAGGATGGACGCGCAGAAACGAACCCAACTTTCTTTCTTTTTTATCA